TTGGGAGGGTCCTCGAAGATCATAGAAACAGAGAATGGTTGGGTTGGCTTTGGGTTGGAAGGAACCTTAAGATCACAGAACCACTGAATCACAGCGCAGTTGGGTTGGGGAACCCAAAGCTCCCTCAGCCCCACCTCTGCTGTGGGCTGGGTGCCCCCTAGCAGCCCGGGCTGCCCAGACCCCATCCAAGGTGGTCTCTCCCCAGTCTTTCTCCTCAGAGCTGCTCTCCATGAGTTCTTCTCCCCTATCTGGGATTATCCCAACCCAACCCCACGCACTCAGCCTGGAAATCTTGCTGGGTTCACACGGACCCACTTCACGGGGGAAAACACCCCCAGCCAGAGCCAGCCTGGGCACCTCTGATTTCCATTTGCATCCGGCATCGTTTGGGGGCTGCGACGGGTAAAAACCCCAAAGCAAAGAGAAAATGGCTGCGGTTAATTGGAGGAGCAGCACCCACCCAACCCGTTCAGCACGGCGAACAGACGCCACAAGGGCTGTGGGTGGAGGGAGCAGGACGGCAGGGGAGGTAATTTCTCCGGGGGGGGGGAGGATTTTATTTGTGCTGATGGATTACAGGGCAGCACGGAGCTGCTCTGCCTGCATGTCATCCCAGCGCCCTCGGGAGCACTTCAGGTTTTTATTTCGCATTGTATTCGGAGGGAAGCCAAGCGTTCAGAGGGCTGAGTGCTGCCACGCTTCATCCGTTAGCGCTCCTCGTTACAGGAGAAGCCACTGGAGTAATTAAACACCCACAGAGAGAGGGGCAGAAGGGAGGATGGTCTCCAGGACATGTAAGGTCATTGGTTTGAGCAAATAAAGGATGACGCAGCTTTTGCTCTTGTCAATCTACTCTTCTTGCAAGCCAATAAGGGAGCTTCTGACATTTGTAAACAACAACCAGTTTTTATTATATTAATAGTCATTTATTATATTAATAGTCATAAGCAATTGTTTTTCTTGCTTACCTTCTTGGAAGAGCTCTCGGAGGCACTGAAATTTCCCATCGATGCTCTTTAGGTGCTGGGCGACGCGGAGAATTTCCCTGGCACAGCGCTCAGGTGTGGGGCAATGGGACGGAGCCCAGGAAGCAGCTGGGATTCCCGAGTGGGAGCTGTGCTCAGGGCAAAGGAATCTCCCCAGGAATCCATCAGCATCATCCCAGGATCCCGACCCGTTCATGGTCAGCACCTCTTTGCATTTATCCCTTTGAGGTTGGAATCCTCTCTTCCAACCAGACTCATCCTATGGGTTTCCTAACCCAGTAGAGCTGCACCCAGTGCCTTCGGAGAAATGACTGAAGCAGGTTTTAATGCCCAAATTTCCTCTTTTCAGCAAGTAGAAACTCAAATTTGGGAAACTTTCCTTTAGCAAAGCTTGGGTATCAAAAGCCTTGAACGCCCGTTTGCTATCGCAGCGCATTTCTGTGTCGGTCTCTCTCACGTAGTGCAGTATTTGCAAGAGGAAATGTTGGCTCAGGCGATCTGCAGAGAATAATTTCCATCTCTTAGAGAGGGTTTTTCATCTCTCAGAGGTTTTCCATCTCCTTTCATTGCCTGCCCTTGGCTAAAAGATGGAGCAGGAAGCACAGAATCGTGAAATCGTAGAATCGTGGAATCACAGAATCGCAGCGTCACCGAATGTCCAGGTTTGGAAGGGACCCACAGGGATCATCGCATCCAACTCCTGCAGCAATAAAAAAGCCATAAAATCCCTCAGCCATCACTGCTGCATCTCGGTGGTTGCAGATGAAGCCAGGAACGGCGTCGCTGTCGATGTCCTGCTTCCCTTTGCAGACTCTGGAGTCGGATGGAGAGCGGATCTACGCTGGGGCAGGAACCTGGGGCAGGTGTCAGGCAATGTGGATTTTCCACATTCCTTTTGGGAGTTGTGAAATGAGTCCCTTCCCTTCCCAGACGGATCCTCCCACCCGGCGGCTCGCTTTTTAACCCTTTGCTCTCTGCAGGCTGGGAGGCGTCTTTGCCGTTCCACTGCTGCCTGCAGATCATTTGGGGCTGTGGGGGGGAATTGTGTGACGTGGCGAAAAGCAAAGCAAGAGTGACACCAACCATAGTGTGCGATATTTGGAACGGAGGAATCCGTCTCCGTCCCAATCTGAAGCTGTGGAGGTGGGCAGGGAGTTTTCCCCTCCCTTCTGCTTCAGGGTTTCTATTGCGCTGAATTCCCCTGCAGAAAGACAGCTCTGCCCTTTTCCAGCTCTTCTGAAGCTGGGCTTCGTGCAGGACTTCCCAAGCTGGCCTGTGATCCTTAAGGATTCCCCCAACCCAATCCATCCTATGGTTCTACAGTTGTATGACCTTTGGGGACCCAACTCAATCCATTCTGTGGTTCTATGACCTTTGAGGACCCAACTCAATCCATTCTGTGGTTCTATTCTCTTTGAGGACCCAACCCAAACCATTCTATGGTTCTGTGTTCTTTGAGGACCCAACTCAACCCTTTCTGTGGTTCTATTCTCTTTGAGGACCCAACTCAACCCATTCTGTGGTTCTATTATCTTTGAGGACCCAACCCAACCCATTCTGTGTTTCTATGACCTTTGAGGACCCAACTCAACCCTTTCTGTGGTTCTATTATCTTTGAGGACCCAACCCAAACCATTCTGTGGTTCTATTCTCTTTGAGGACCCAACTCAACCCATTCTGTGTTTCTATGACCTTTGAGGACCCAACTCAACCCTTTCTGTGGTTCTATTATCTTTGAGGACCCAACCCAAACCATTCTGTGGTTCTATTCTCTTTGAGGACCCAACTCAACCCCTTCTGTGGTTCTGTGTTTTTTGGGGACTCAACTCAACCCATTCTGTGGCTCTATTATCTTTGAGGACCCAACCCAAACCATTCTATGGTTCTGTGTTCTTTGAGGACCCAACCCAACCCATTCTGTGGTCCTATTATCTTTGAGGACCCAATTCAACCCATTCTGTGTTTCTATGACCTTTGAGGACCCAATTCAACCCATTCTATGGTTCTATTATCCTTGAGGACCCAACTCAACCCATTCCATGGTTCTACGACCTTTGAGGACCCAACCCAACCCTGTTGGCACTGTGTTGCTTCCCACTTCAGTTTGTGCTTTGCTGTCATTTTCTCACTGGGTTTGTTGTGTTTTTGGTTGTTGTTTTTTTTTTTCCCCACAATAACCCGTTTTGTTTTGTTTTGTTTTGTTTTGTTTTTCACAGAATAACCAAGAAAAGAGCAATTTTTTGGGCTCTGAACGGAGAAAAACCCACTGGGTTAAAAACCCAATCGGTTAAAAGCCCGATGGGTTAAAAACCCAATTAGATTAAAAAGTGGCTTAAAACGTCAATGAGTTAAAAACCCAATGGGGTAAAAACTCCATGAGTTAAAAACCCAATGGATTATAAACCCAATGGATTAAAAACCCAAAGGATTAAAAACCCAATGGAGTAAAAACCCAACGGGTTAAAAACCCAATGGAGTAAAAACCCAATGGAGTAAAAACCCAATGGAGTAAAAACCCAATGGATTAAAAACCCAACGGATTAAAAATCCAATGGATTAAAAACCCAACAGATTAAAAACCCAATGGATTAAAAACCCAAAGGATTAAAAACCCAATGGGTTAAAAACCCAACGGGTTAAAAACCCAAAGGATTAAAAACCCAATGGATTAAAAACCCAACGGATTAAAAACCCAA